GAGCCCACACATTGGGGGTGGAGAAAGACAAAGACCATTTTATTTCCGATAATAATCACACAAACGCCAGCTCCTAATGACGTTTTGCGACAGGTATGCAATGATATATCATTAGTGTTTAGTCAAAATAAAGGCAAATTCTTGGTCACGTTAGTTAGTTAAATATTAAATTTTCTTCCTCACAGATTTTCTGCTCCTGTCGTAAAAATTGTCAAACAAAACAATGCACGTGCAAAAAAGCAGGTTTGATGTGTACACGTATGTGTAAAAATTGCAACGGAGACAATTGTGAAAATGGTTCCACCACGAGACCAGTAATTGATGAAGACTCTTTCGATGATGTGATTAATGACGTTGTCGACATGCAAGAGGAAACGACGGAAGAAGGTCATGTGGGGTACCATACTCAGTCCTCCCTCAATATGTATACTCCAGATAGTAGCATTTATGATTTTTGCGAATAAATAAATTTTGTTTACTATCAATTTAATATTTATTTTTGATCGTATGCTTCACAATAAGTTGTTCTCTATTTCTTTTCATTGGAAAATGTCATTCAAAAATCATTTCTCAGAGACTTTTTTATTTAACCATTATCAGTTTTTTTTTGGGACTTTGAAATTGTGTCGCAATTCAAATATAAAAAGCCGATCCATTGTGTGTTCAACTGTTCGCCCCTCTCTTGCCCCTCCGCACAGCTATGCAATACATAACATATTTTCTACAACGAAATAAAATTTTAAAACCAATAAAATAAGAAAAATAAGATTTTAATTTGGAAAAAAATGTTACTGGAGACTATGTTTATTCGCTAGGAAATCGTAGATAATGTATAAAAAACATCATGTCTGGAGAACAAATTTTTTTTCCCCGTATTAATGTTATTAGGACTTAGAAAAATTTTCGGGCCAAAAGCTGAAGTGGATATTTCAGCCGGAAGGCGATCGAGTGCGTCGCAGCTACTAGAGCTACATATATATAGCACCGGCTCTCTCCTCTCTCCTCGTGCCTGCAATCGTCTGCTAGTGTGATCTCTCACTCTGTCTCACTCACTCTCATAGGTACGTGCCAAAATACTTTCAGAATTTTTTAACTCGAAATTTTGCGCTGGTCAAAAAAAAAATGAAAGACCAAATCGATAGAGAATTTTCCGCTCTACACGCTGATATTTTTATTTACATCCTATCTCTTACCATTTACGCGAAATTTGCAAAATAAACTTTTAGCCGCTATTTTACATAGTTTGACTAAGAATCTACGTTTTTTACTATTTTTCCCGTAATCTACGAGTTCGATTGCATATAATATCCAAAATGACCCTTTGGATATCAACTTTTAGGTTGAACAGATTTTCGACTAGTCTAAACTTACCGACAACTTAATTATGTCTTACGATATCTTGCGTTATGTTTAAGTTGTCGGTAAGTTGTCGGAGAGCGCTACTGGAACACACGGTAAAGCAGTACATTTTTATTCAAAAACACAGATGTTTGTATTGGTATTACTGAAATCAACTCATGAATTTAAATTATAATTAATCTTACGTAAATGTTTGTACAAATAAAGTCAATTGGCTTGTTTTAACGTGAAACAGTAGTGCTAAGCTTATTCTCAAGGTTGTCTTAGAAAAATGGAAGGTAAGAATTTCATCAGTATTTTTTAAACCAAAGTTAAAATTCTTAATCGAATTCAACGTTAAATCTTGCAATATACAATATTTGGTAATTGAATTAAAATCCTAATTCCAATTTTCAGGTAACAGGGTCGATTCTAGGCTACTCGACCAATTGCTAGGTGATTTGTTTTTTGGATGCACAATTGCGTTTCAAACAGTTGAAAACGAATATTTTTTACGTTTTGTGAATGCTTTAAACCCTAACTACACACCTCCTACTAGAAAAACGTTGTCGAATACTATTCTCAATGAACGTTATGAACAATTTTGAGAGGCTATTCGAAGAACAAATTCAAGGAGAGGTGCTTTGCTAATGGATGCATGGAAAAATAAATCAGCAAACACACAAAATGTTGTGTGTATGTGAAAGCTAGATTCGATAGAAAATAATAAATATATTTATCTCCGCTCATACAATTTTAGTATTGAAAGAGAAACTGGCGAAGCTTTTAGGGATATTTACAATGAATGTTAACTAATTGCTTTAGAAAAATATGATATTGACGTCTACGTATCTGTGACAGACAGCGCGTCAAACGTTGTTAGAATGGGAAGACTACATGGTGATTGGCATGTCGTTTGTAGTAGCCACAGTACTTATTTACTGAGTAAAGCAATTGTTGATAATGCATTCGCTTCCTTAGTAAACAATTTATTAAAACAGTTCAAACACCCAGCACTAGCAGAGATTAGTAGAGAGATTGCTGACTGCAATGCTATACAATAATGATAAAAAATAGTTATGTTAAAATTTATGATGATAATGATTACAGAGGCTCTTAAATTGGCACCAGTGAGTCTTACCATATCATTCATTTTCAGATCCTAAATGACAAAACGCTGTGAGACTGAAATGGATGAAAGTCCAGAGCTCTCACAGGACCTTCGTGTTTGTCGGAACCGCTAATCAAATAGTTGCTGTCGTTCTCAAACATCTTGTCAGCAGAGTAAATCTTCATTTTTCCATAATTACAGCAACTCACAATAATGCCATCTGGATTCGTTCCACCAGCTCCCACAATAATCGTATGACAATCTGATGGTAATTATAATTATTGTATTAAATTTATCAACACTATGAATATTTTAAGTATATATAAATAACAAAAAGGTAAAAACCTTTGATAACTTGGCACACTGGTATTGATTGAGAGAATACAAATCCAAACTGACATTACAGGACTAAAACTGACATCCAACTGCTGAGCAGCTGTTCCTGCATCCAAGCAAAATTGGAAAGTTGGTGAGCTGCTGGACTAGAGGTGACCAGGTCACATTTACAGCTTCATGCAACTCCTTAACCTTCATTACAATCATTGTGTTAAATTTCTCAAGACCATGAATATTATAGGTATACATAACAAAAAAATACAAACCATTGATCACTTGGCACACTGGTCTTTAGTTATATATCATAACCTGGCTGCTCCAGATTGAGAGAATACAAATACAAACTGGCATTAGAGTACTAAAACTGAAATCCAAAATTGGAAAGTTGGTGAGCTGCTGGACTAGAGGTNTCGACAGAACATTTCGTATTTATTTACTCTTTATTTACTATCAAATAACATGTTTATTTTTGAAATCTTACTATTGAACGTTTATTCTTTAACGTACAACATTTAGCTTTTTTGTTCCATAAATTTTGAGTAACGATACATATTATTTATTTATCTCAACAATACCTAGTTTCAAATTAAAATACATTTAAATCATGGTATTAATTAAAATACTTATTTACTGTTTTAAATTGGTATTGGAATACTTTTTAATACATTACTTTCTAATTTATAGTTGCTTCAGCGTACAGCGATATTAACTAGATTTTGTATACTTAATTTGATTGTAGTATAAATTAAAAATTAGTATTAATTTTAATACTTTTTGATTGCGCTTTTTTACTTGCAACTTGCAACTAAATTTGTTTATATTTTCTCATTTTTAAATATAAACTATATTAATTACTTAATGTTTAGTTTAATTGAGAGCTTACAAATACAAAAAGCATGTTATTAAAAAAAAAGGGTAAAACACCTTAAAATGTCAAATGTTACACTGTGTATAGAAATATAAAGTTACTTAAGAGATTATTTACCAAGACGCTTTTTGTACTGGTTAGCTCTAAATGAGCGTCATCACATTTATTTCGTTATAATATTCAGTTAAATAAAATATAATTATAATATAAAATACAGTTTCAGTTTTCTACGTTTCTAGATTCATTATACTTTAAAATAGAAAGGAGTTTGGTAATTAATTTTTCTTGTTTTTTATTTAAATTTGACATTCTAACTATGAGATTTTGATGGTTTGTAAAAGCAGGTATATTATTGAGTTTCAAACCAAATTTGGCAAATTCTGGATAGAGGTTCGAATGACTCATAGAACATTTGTGCCATTTCGTACGATTTTTCAAATAAATTTTGAAAAACACCATCTTTTTTTTGAAGTCTCAACAAACCAGACATTTCCTTTTCATTAAAAAATGGTATAAAAAATATTGTTAATTCCTTAATAGGGTCCTTTATAATAAGGTTGAAGTATTTCCTCTGATTTATAGGGTGCAAATAATGAGATGCTACAGAAAGCATATTAACAGCTCTATAAATTTCATTTTTAACATATTCAATTTTATATTCTTGCTCGTCGCTCAAATCTTTACATTTTAACAAAATATGTAAGAAGCTTTCAACGCCATCAGCAATTGTGTACTTTTCTTGTCATTTTGTTTATAAAATTTCGTATATATATTTCAAAATATTTGTAATTTTGTTCTATTTAATTTCATATTTGTTTCCAATCAACATTACAAGGACATCAGTCGGAAAGATATGGTCATCATGCATGTAAGTTGCAATTTCTCGCATTAGTTTCATATTAAAATTGCAAGGTACAATTATTTAAAAAAATATGTATTCTATGGCAGACTTTACGTTCATATCGAAATTTTACATTTTTTTGCCACCCAGATCCAGTAATTTTTTCTCCATACCTTCAGCTTTGAATTTTATTATCAATTTAGAAATGTCACTGTGTAGTTTTTCATCAACAACGATGTAAAATAAGTTTTGAAAGATTTTTGATAAACAAAAAAAATACTAGTAATTACGATTTTTATCAACTGTTGTTAAAATGTGATCAGTGTTTAAAACAATACTATCTATACATATGTTTTTATCATTAAGTTTTTCAAGTGACTTAGTAATAATTGCTTCTATTGAGTACAGATCTAAATCGTAACAGTTTACATATATGAATAGTTACAGGCTGTAAAAGTCATACAAACTAACGTATCATTACTCTGCTTACTTATTACCAAAACGCCTTAACATTTTTGCAATCCAATTTTTTTCTTTAGATTATTAAGTATACACTTTTGGTACAGTTTCATTCAACAGATACGTTGGCGAACTTGGTTTTTCATAAGCACAACATAGTTTTTTACAAAACTGTTAAAAGTAATGGTTTTCAACAATATTAGAATTTATATTATTCACTACTTAAGCACAAAACAATTTTTCTTTTATTTTTAGTATATCTTTGCTATTTAATCTCTCGAACATAAGTCTTCGTTTGACTGGTTGTGGTTTCTTAACAAGTACGCAGGATGGATTTTCTGAATGAGATGAATTTATTGGTAGAGTTTCTTCATCTGGATTTGTAGTATTTACATTTATATCTTTATCCTCAGCAAATGAACTGCTACGCACTTTTCTCTTGTTGTTGTCCATAGATCATGCTGACTGATCTTTGCATTTTTGTCTGTAAGTATAAACAAAAATCATTATAAATCAATTAAATTTCAAACTAAATGTATCTCAACTTATTGATTCTAATATTTATTATGTTTTCAAAGTAATTTTAAAATTATCAATTGAGTTTTGAAAACACTAGTGAATTGATACAAAACAATATTAATAAACTCATATAATCATAACTAACCTATATCAAAATAGAAAAATCCACAAGTTAGGATAAATAGTAAAAAAATTTGTGTAAAAATACTAACCTATAAGTTTTTAGTCCATTTTGAGCAGTATTTTTAAAATTTTTTTCGCAGATCAAACAATGAGCCACTGTTACTTCTTTCACCTGCTCTGCATTAGGATTTTCATCAATATTCGTAGTTTTAATTTTTTCTTATATTTTTAGCTGTACAAACTTTCCTTCTTTCCAATAGTCATGACAACTTCTACCTCCTCTTTCCATTGTGTATTGTTAACAATAAAAACAATAAATAAATCATTAAGAAGGATTTTGATAACATCGAAGCGTACTTTCGAAGTTGCTCGAAGTTTTTAACAAAACAGCATGAGCACTATGGGCATAGCTATTTTCTTACTAAACGACATTTAAAGTCAGAAACTGACCCACGTAATTTACAGGTATTTTACATGTAAGAAACTAAGTAAGTTACCTAAGGTAACTTACCTACCCACCACTGGGTGTGGCGTTCCAAGGTCTCATTTTCGTGCTGTTCTGCGCCTTCCATCACGACGCCATTTTTGAGGGAGATGTGACTACTACAGTGCCGAAGAGCCTATACAATGAAATGAAGTGGCCAAAATTGAAATTAAAACCTATCCCCGCCATTCACTTTGAAGTGAGACATATATATATATATATATNCCTTTGTCGTTAATATGCCTCGTACTGGCCAGGTGCAAGTGATGGGAGGTGACAGATGAGTCGACACCAGCGTGCTTAGTGGCGAAAACAGGAAACCTGGGGTACCAAATAACTGTCATTTTTGCTAAAATAACAGTATTCCGTTAAATTTATAGATGTTATCATCACGTATGTATAAATAGTATTAATATTATGAAATTACAGTTACACAAATGTAAAAAAATGAACTATGTGGTGCCAAGAACGGTTGTAAAATGTTCGAATGTAACAATCTAAGAATGAAACCTCATTAGTTCTCGATCCAGAGCACACTCTCAGAATCAGACGTTAAAAGGAACATAAATACAAGAAATAAGATATTATCATTGTGATTTCTATTATTTAAACGTTTATGAAATATGGGTGTAAGAAAGTGCTGTGTTGTTCAGTGTAACAGTAGCGCAAAGACAAATAGAGTAAAATTACATAAATTTCGATGATTATCCAACTGTAAATAAAGGTAATTTTCATGTGCATTGCAACTTAGACGATTTTCAAAATAATCTGAATAAAACGTACATTCAGGTTAACTCAGTAGGGAGCTGAAGTTCCTAAGGTCTGTCTTATTACGACGACACTTGTCAAACTGCTTACTCCATCACTTTGAAATTCTGTAACATCGCACACATGACTACTTTCAACCAACTGTTTACCTTTTTTTAAGGCTTCAGAGTTAAAACAAATCTAGTATGTGATATTCCTAAAGCCTGTTTTTATGATAACATCCATTATCAGATGAATAAATACACTAATTTTTTTTCTAATTAATTAATTATTCCTAAAAGGGTCCATCGGTGTATGCTGTTGACGTATAATGTGGGTACCTACCCGCGATTGCATGATTTTGATACCAAGGGTGGCACTGCATGACATGCACCTGGCCAATGTCCCCACGGTGCATCGCACTGCATCTAGTGCACACTACGGACATTTTTACAGATTCTAAATTTTTCGCTACTGTGAAAGTATCTTTATAGCCAGCGTCGGCAATCTGGCATTCTGTACCTAGTATGTATTGAATAAGAACGAGAGAAGCCAAGTGACCCTCAATTGGGTAAAGTTATGTATTCCAATCCGCTTACTATCTCAAATTCTTTTAAGAGATTAAAGATTGCAAGTTTTCAAGCATTAAATGCTTAACCACTAACATACATTGATCTAAATTCAATCTCTAGTCCTTTACGCAATATTATGAAGTATGAAAATGAATATGAAAGTTTGTTAATTGTAAGAAAAATTATTGTGGGATTCATAACAGCCGTAGTTCTAAGAAGTAGTATTATTGAAAGAGAGGCATGCGCAAATAATTTAGTAAATCTGTCAACAAGTAGTCAACTGTTTTGTGATAAAATATGCATGCAAAATAATGAGCTGCAAAGTTTTTATGACAAGTTTATATTTCTCGAGGAACTAAAAATTATTGAAGTTTGTGTTACAGTATTACTTAAAACTTAAGTTAAAGCATCAAAGGCACAAGTATTTGTAAATGTTGTCGGAATACTGTTTACTTTTGGAGCATTACATTTGTTACGATTTTTAATTACTGCTTTTATTTTTTTACCAGTCCATCCATTAGGTCGTTGTAAAAGCAGCGAAAGTTTTGGCTCTGGAGTTTCGTAAGTTCCTCTTTTGTCATGGCTAAGATTAAATTTAACTGTTTTTATAACTTCATTTTTTAATTTTTTTTTTTCAGAGTCTTTTAGAGCTGCAGTTAAAGAAGGCTGATCATTGAACTCTATTATTTCATGATCTGTATGAACTTTAGAAGATAGCTTATTTAAATCATTATTTGGTAAGTAGCTTTTAATTTCGAATTTTTATTTATTTCAAATTTT